TATACCGCATTAAAACTAGAGTAATAAACTGAAAATGTGGTAAGGCAAAGGGTAATTAATTAAGAAGCTAAGGGTTCATCTAAGCAGAGCTGTTTGTACAGAATTCTTTTTGTTAGGTAGGAAGTCAGAAATGAGCTTATGTGTGTGTGACAAGGGCCTAAGGAATTGAAATCTAGGTCCAGCATCCACCGACAACCTTCCAGGTGCAACCCAGTATCTGCACTTCATCCGTCCTGACGAGCTTCCAGGGGGTCCTGCCCCTTCTACCCGATAACCATCCTTCCTCTCTGGCGGGGTGACGCCAGCCGGGCTTCCCCTGTCTGATAACTCCCTGGGAAAAACTCAGAAGGAATTGTTTGTATTTACATCCAGCAAGTCCTTTGTTCAGGAGGAGGGGAAGGAGAAGAGGCAGGAAGGCAAGACCCATCCCTTAAAAACCCCAGCCTAACTAAACTGCGCACTCTCTCAGGTCCTGTCTGGAGAGGTGCCCGTCCGTTCTTACGGATGTCCCTTCCCTAATAAACCTTGCTGCTTTGCTTTCTGCTGCTCTCTGTCTCACGCCTGAATTCTTTCTTGCGGGAAGACAAGGGCCCTTTTGCTTCTCTGGTAGCACTTTGACCTCAACTCTTTTGTCCTTGATGATAGATGTTGCATCTTTCTAGCCTAGAAAGAGCACCTTTCACATGGGGATTTCATCCTCTGCTTTTAACAGCACTAAGTTAAAAGTTATCTTCTCAAACCTCCAGTTTTTTGTGCATTTAACCTAATCAATGTGCCAGAATAGCACACGGAGATTTTAACCCCTTCAATACAGCCGAGGCTTAACATAGGCCACTTTGATGCCAGAGCCAGGTGTTTCATTTTGTCTTATTTCCCTTGCTGTATACAGTCATCCCGCTGAAAAGCCAATGTACAGCACTGTATTCTGCAATCTTGCACAGCACATGTCACTCCCCGTCTTCGTGGAGGAACGACACAGGACCCTGTGCTGTTCTTTCGTCTGCTCGGCCCTCCCCGGGTTTGCTGCTGGTTCTTCCCGGGTTGGCTGCCGTCCCTTCCACCTCCGTGGAAGGGCGGTTCCCCCTGCCACTTTTCCCCACTTCCGCGGGGGAGCGGCACACCGCCGGCCGGCTCTCTCGGGGGCTGCACAGGTGTTCCTTCAGATAGATGTTCCCCTTAGATGTTCCTGGTGCATGTTGTCTCTCTCCTCCTTTATAGTCCTCTTCCGCCAATCCCAACTCTGCTACCCACACGCAGAGCACACTGCTCTCCTCCAATCAGGAGCAGGATCAGCTCCTGGAGGTCATCACTCAGTTGGCAAGAGGCAGCTGCGTAGAAGCTGTTTCCTCCTCTCCCAGCACCATATTGTGGGAGAGCAGATGCATAGAATAAGTCTTAATTCCAGTAACTTAGTCTAGTCCGAGTTGCTCCCCACAGCACAGAATCTATCTCATCAAAGTCCAGCAGCACACTTAGAATAAACGAGCATTTTTTCATGTGACTTCTCTGCATCCCATCCACTTCAAACTCTTTTCCCAGACACAGGCCCTTTTACACTTAGACGATACACAACTCTCCTGTGCTCAGCCCCAGGCATGCAACTCTGTGATCCGTGCTTGCAGCAGTCAGCATAATTCATCCCTGCCATCTACTCATGTGGACAGGTTCAGACATGGGCTCACGACCCAGTATTGTCAGTCCCAGCCAAATGAGACTCAATTTATCACTGTGGTTGGAGTTTTAAGACGGTTATCTTTTAATTGCATTGGGTTGAGCAGCTGGCTGTCCATATACCCTGACCTCACAATACCTAAAATGGTTAAACTAAAATGGATCAAAAGCTTTCTATACAACTTACAACATTTTAATTTATTTTTACTTATCTGAAATGCAGACAGACTGAGATCTTGCACTGGTTCACTCTCCGTATGCCCGCAACAGCCAGGGCTGGACCATGCCAAAGCCAAAAGCCCGGGTCTCTGAGTGGCAAGGACCCAAGTATTTGAAACAGCACTTTCTACCTCCCAGAGTGCACATTAGCAGAAAGCTGGAATCGGGAGTGGAGTGGAGACTCACATCGCTATTTTACTGTTACGTCCACATCCTGTCATATCCATTGATGGGAAACATACATGATCTGTTTTTGCAACCATCACTAGACAACCTATAAATGTGATCATTCATAAATAAATCCTGAAGTCAGGAGCAAGGAGCTTTTTCCAGGTCTCCCTCATGAGTGGCAGGAGCCCAAGGACTTGGACCATTTCCACTGGTTTTGCTAGGCCATTAGTAGGGAGCTGGATCGGAAGTGGTGCAGCCAGGACAGGACAAGTACTCCACTATAGGAAATGGGTGTTTAAGCGGTGTCCTTTAACCACTGTATTGAACAACCATCCCTCATTGGAGGTTCTGCAAAGGTGGACATAATCTTTCAACCTGCCCTTGGACTTTGGAAGCAAGAAGATTGGAACTGGGGCTGCCACTGTAGCATAGCAAGCAAAGCCGCCACCTGCAGTGCCAGCATCCCATATGGGTGCCAGTTCGAGTCCCAGCTACTCTATGTTTGATCCAGCTCTCTGATAATGTGCCTGGGAAAGCAGTTGAAGATGGCCTAAGTACTTAGGCCCCTGCACTCACATGGGAGACTGGAAGAAGATCCTGGCTTCAGATCAGCCCAGCACTGGCCATTGAGGCTATCTGGGGAATGAACCAACATGTTGAAAATCTCTGTCTTTCCTGTTCTCCCTCTCTTTCTCTAACTCTGCCTTTCAAATAAATAAATAAATAAATAAATCTTTAAAAAAGAAAAAAAAAAAGAAGACTGGAACTGCGCTGCCCACTTGCTATGTAACGAGGCAACCAGCAGCCAGAGAAGAGAGCAAACATGACCCTAGAGATTGTTTGGCTTCTGATAACCTTGGTGGTGCCACGCTCAGTCTGTGCCTGAGGCTTTCTGCCCCTTGCACTTTCACCAATTAGAGTCAATAATGTCCTTTTTCTGCTTCAACTTGTTTGTCTTGGGAATTCCGTCATTTGCCAGAGAAATCCTAGCCAACACAACCTAGAAGACATTGGACATATTTTGCCATCCCCACCCCTCACCCCCTTTCTCTATTGCACAGGCTTAGGTCACTTTTTGGGCTCTTAGAATGATAACAAATCAGTATTCTCTGAGCCTGGGGAAGAGGACAGTAAGACGGTATTAGGGCACAGTGACTGGATTATCAGGCAGATTTTGTATTTTGGAAAATCAGGCCTTCTAAGACTTACTCACTCAGTGATTTGTGGATTGACTGTAGGAAACGTCATGTTTTTATTTCTCTACAACTTAGTTTCCTCTATGCAAAACAAGGGTACACCGCTGTCGGGGTCTCAAGCCCTAGGCTGGCCCCTGACCAGCAGGGGCCACTACAGATACTCCCCAACAAGGCAAACGGGAGAGGTAAGGTTGATGGGTGATGAACACACCACAAGCACCCCTGAGTTCTGTCGAAGCAGGAACCTCTTTATTGAGGAAGCGTACAGGCTTATAAAGCTTACGAAGGACATGTGCAGTAGGGGAGCCAATCAGCAAAAAGGTCATGCAGGCATGGGTGGACCACGAACAGGGGCATCTTAAGTAAAGTATAGGGATCACGCAAGGTCCACATGTCATGAACTAAAGCGGACCTATCCCTGCCGATGGTCTGATCTTACGTAGCTTAACTGCAGCAGCCACAGCCATGCCCCTCGAACATCCGCTAGGCGCCATATTGTAATGGAGATTTTAGGCAATGCCCAACACACCACTTCCACAAAAAGGAACTGATAAGCAAGTGCCTAGGTGCCGGCGATGTAGCACAGCCAGGTAAGCCGTAGCCTGCAAAGCTGGCATCCCATATGGGTGCTGATTTGAATCCTGGCGGCTCCACTTTCCATCCAGCTTCCTATAGATATGCCTGGGAAAACAGCATAAGATGGTCCAAGTGCTTTGGCCCCTGCCACACATATGGGAAACCCAAAGGGAGCTGCTGGCCCAGCCCCAGCAGTAGCAGCCATTTGGGTAGTGACTCAGCAGATGCAAGATCGCTCTCTCTGTCTCTTCCTCTCTCTAAACTCTGCCATTCAAACAGATAAATCTTTTTTTTTTTTTTAAAGAAGTATTCCATTTCACTGCAAAGGAAACTATTCTCATGTTTAGGAGACAGACAACTTTCTTTGCTTCTGCTTTGTGCATTTCACAGATGGGGTCTTTAGACTTGAACTTTTCAAAACTCAATTTGATCCTTCTAAGATTGCCTTTTCTAAAATCTACTAGCAGTGTGCACAGTTTTGTCACTGGAGAAAAGAGCCATGGAAGCCATGGGATTCTTGTCTTCATGCAAGAAAGAATTCAGGCGTGAGACAGAGAGTTAAGGTTTTATTGACGATAGGGCATCCAAGTGCCCAGTCACTCGGAGTGGGGGAGAGCGAGGTTACATGGTTGAATGGAGAGAAGACAGCTGGGCAGGCCAGGTGTGTGGCTCAGCAGAGAGCAGAGGGCTGAGTGTGCAGTCTTTGTCTAGACTCCTGGTTTTTAGGGAGTTTCTTTACCCCTCCCCCTCCCCCTCCTGGACAAAGGATGGGGAGCCTGGTGGAAGTGTTTGTTGGGTGCAAATACAAAAAATTCCTTTCCAAGTTTACCTCAGAGGTTGTCAGACAGGGGACGCCTTGCTGGGCCAGCCAAGGGGCTTCTTTCTCTCTAGGGCGCCCTTCTTAGAGGAAAGATGTTTATCAGGCCAAGTAGAAGGGGCGGGACCACCTGGAAGGTTATCAGGGTCTGGGCAGGAGTCTGAAGTGCAGATGCTGGACTGCTCTAGATGTCAGTTTCCTTAGGCCCTTACACACATAAGCTAATTTCTAACTTCCTGCCTGACAACCCCATGGCTGTGGAAAGAAAGAATATCTGCTCAAATAGCTTAATTTCCCACGATGAAGGAAAGGCCTCCCAGAGACATTTAGAAAAACGAAACCAAGCTGGCAAAGGTATAAGCCATTTATTTTATTTCCATTTCTAAAATGAATGTGAATTTATTGATTGCTTTGATATTTAAAATAGTGTAAAATCGTCTCAGAAAATATATTACATTTATTAAAAGACATACAAACTATTGCAGCAAATCCTATTATGAAATCATCTGACCAAGTTAACAGTTGTTTGCAAAGCACTTGTGGTGATGTACATGGTCTCCTTAGTTGCAAAGAACCAAGACATTCTTGGGACAGGAGTGGAATTTGATCAGAATTGTCTAAAAAACAACCCTTGTCCACTTCTTTGTGGACTCACTGATTATTTGATTTGGGGCCCACGGTTGCACTTATGCGAGTCTACATAATTATATAAGATTCTCCTGGTTCCAGTAAACCCATTCCTTGTGTCCAGTCTACTGTACTCAGCAAAGTGTGTGCCAGATCATAAGAAAAACAAACCCAAGAAACTGAAGTGCCTCAGATAGCTTTATGGTTATACTAAAGTGTCAAGTACAAACCTCACCTTAAGAATTGCGGACGGGAATGCAAGAAAACAAATTGTGGTGGGATACAGGAACAAAAGGCAATAAATCCTGGCAGAATGGGGTGTGGCAGCCTGGTGCATTAAGTCTGAAAGCCAGACCAGTGACACTAATTATAGCAAATCGGCTTAGATTTCTTTTTCAGAAAATCTCTGCAATTTAGACTTGGAGTTTCAGTTAGTATTTCTTTATTCAGTTTGTGATTTGTAAAGATCTGTTCACGGATTCCCTTTCAAAGTCTTCTTTTGAGTGATTTCACCGTGTCTTAGCCCCAAGCTCTTAAGAGGGGGTAAGATTAACATCAGCCAGGTAACAATTTAAATAAGAGAGTTGGAAAAAACATCAAGTCACTGAATAAAGTAAGGCTTGGGGGTAATGATGCAATTCAATTGTGAATGCCCACTGTTTCCTTTGAAGGATGAGTTCAAAGCTGTTCTTTTTTGCTTTTGATTCGTGGAGAGACAACAGAAAATGATTAAAATGGAAATGAATCAACTTTACCTAGAAACAAGGTTATCCCTTCTTCCCATTAGTATTTTAAATGTAAAATCGAAGCCTTGAGTCATTCCACTTTCTCCTGCCAGCCCGTCCTATTTCACAGCATACCCATAGATGTGAGGTCGCACCAGCTCCCAGGACAGTGGGGCCTGAATGTGCTGCAGCTTCAGCTTCGAGAAGCTGGCCCTCTCCAGGGCCTTCCAGCTCTCTCTGGTAAGTTCGCAGCCGTCGAACAGTAGGAACCACGCAGGATCCAGGACCTGCTGCCAGAAATAATTCCAGGTGGAACGCTCGGCTGATACGTGCTCCATGAAGTAAAACGCCCCTCCCTGAGAGAGAAAAGAAGCAATGCAAGGATTTTAGATTTAAGAAAAAAATAGATTTATAAGTTAATTGAAGCTTCAAATGTTGGTGATCCTAGAGGCCAACTTCATAGAAGACACGGATACATTTAAACGACATGAGACACCTTGTTGGTCACATTTACATGGAGCTGCCAATCCAAGGTAAGTAGTGTGCATTGCCCTATCACAGAAGTAAGCACGTGGTATCAGCTACAACATCAAGCATTTACTGCCTGGCGAGAGATGTCCTCGTGCTTCTCACATTAACTTTCATCCCTATTTATCATGTGATGAGACCAGGTCACAGAAAAGAATGAACTCGCCCATCATCTCACAGCTTGTAAATGTCAAAACCCAGGCTTTGCCGTGCAGTGGCGTTCTGGCTGGAGTGGCTGGCAGCATTACCCCAGCAATGTGTTCATTAGGAAACTGGGAAGATACAGAAAAGGTTGAAAGGATAAAAATCAACCACCATCTCATCACCCAGTGACGAACTACAGTTGAGATTTTGGATAATGTGAATTTTTTTTTGACAGGCAGATTTTTAGACAGAGAGAGAGAGAGACAGAGAGAAAGGTCTTCCTTTCCATTGGTTCACTACCTCAAATGGCTGCTACGGCTGGTGCTGTGCTGAACCGAAGCCAGGAGCCAGGTGCTTCCTCCTGGTCTCCCACGCGGGTACAGGGGCCCAAGGACTTGGGCCATCCTCCACTGCACTCCCGGGCCACAGCAGAGAGCTGGCCTGGAAGAGGGGCAACCAGGATAGAATCCGGCGCCCCAACCAGGACAAGAACCTGGTGTGCCGGCGCCGCTAGGCGGAGGATTAGCCTAGTGAGCCACGGCGCTGGCCATAATGTGAATTTGTATGGTTTTCCTTAAAACTAGAATTGTACTGCATATGGAACTTCAGAACCTTGGTACAAATGAATTTTGAAATCTATGCACAGTTTTTTCATAATATATATTTTCTATGAACATTTTTTAAAGATTTATTTGTTTTTATTTGAAAGGCAGAGTTACAGAGAGGCAGAGGCAGAGAGACAGAAAGAGACGGACAGAGAGGTCTTCCATCGCTGGTTCACTCCCCTGATGGCCGTTGCAATGACTGGAGCTGCACCAATCTGCAGCCAGGAGCCAGGAGCTCCTTCCGGGTCTCCCACGCGGGTGCAGGGGCCCAAGCACTTGGGCCATCTTCTGCTGCTTTCCCAGGCCACAGCAGAGAGCTGGATCAGAAGTGGAGCAGCTGGACAAGAACAGTGCCTGTATGAGATGCTGGCACTGCAGGCAGCAGCTTGACCCGCTGCACCACAGCGCCGGCCTCCTATGAACTTTTTAAAGATCACATATGCATTCTGTTTTGTAACCTGCTTTATTTTACTTATTTTTTTTTTATTTTGCTCAAGTATGACTTAAAAAATCTTTACACAATATTTTATACCACCTCTTTCCCAACCATTCTTATTTAGGCTATCTCCATTTTTTCTCTACTATAAATACTGTCACAGTGAACATCCTTATCCATAAATCTTGGTTCCAGTCTCCGGTTATTTGCATAGAAGTAGCTTTCTAAGAAGTGGAAGTGCCGAGTCAAAAGATGGGTGCCGTTTTAAACTCTTGGTATAGACGTCAAATTCCCTTTTGGAAAAATTGTATCCGATTTACACTCATCCTAGCAATGGATGTAAGTGCGTAGCCAATAAATCCTCATCAACGTTGTATATTTTCCCCTTTGCCAGTTCTTCAAAAAGTCGTCAACGTTTAATATTCTCGCTCTTTTTTTTTTTTTTCTTGATAGGCAGAGTGGATAGTGAGAGAGAGAGACAGAGAGAGAAAGGTCTTCCTTTGCCGTTGGTTCACCCTCCAATGGCCGCCACGGCCAGTGCGCTGCGGCTGGCGCACTGTGCTGATCCAAAGGCAGGAGCCAGATGCTGCTCCTGGTCTCCCATGAGGTACAGGGCCCTAGCACTTGGGCCACCCTCCACTGCCTTTCCGGGCCACAGCAGAGAGCTGGCCTGGAAGAGGGGCAACCGGGACAGAATCCGGTGCCCCGACCGGGACTAGAACCTGGTGTGCCAGAGCCGCAAGGTGGAGGATTAGCCTAGTGAGCCGAGGCGCTGGCCTTAATATTCTTAATATATAAAAAACCTTTTACTCAGGCTTGTTGTTTATTTGAATTTCTTTCCTGATTTGTCTTGATATCCTATATCAACTTTTTCATTGAGATGCTGGCTTTTTTCTTTTTGGTTAGTATTAGTGAGGGATTTTTATCATAAGACCATGTATATGACAAATGTTTTTCCTACTTTGTTGTCTGCCTTTTTATTACTTTTTTGAAAAAACTTCTTTTTCCATAAACCTTCCTAGGCACTGTCTTGCAAACCCGTGGGAAAACCTGCTAGATTCTATCTGGCAGGTCTGATCCACACCTTTGGGACTGAATGACCATGTTTGATACTTTCTGTACTCTTCTCACAAGTATGTAAATGACATGATTAAAGAAAATGCAATTCATTAAAGGTATTAATGAATCCATGCTAGCATTCTGTCCTTAGGTAGTTGATCCAGTTGGTGGATACTAAGTATAACAGATGTCTTCCATGTAAGAATTAACCATTGCTTCCTCTAGGATGGTCCTATAAATACAAGTATATACCATTGCAAATTTTGTGGTTCCAAAATGTTTTATTAACAATTATTTGAGAGGCAAAGAGGCAGCACTCCCATGCACTGGTTCACCCCACAAGTGCCCCAACAACCAGGGCTGAACAAAGCTGAAGTCAGGAGCCAGAAACTCAGTGTGGGTGCTTGGGACCCAAGTACTAAAGCCATCACTTGCTGTCACTGAGGTTATGTACCACCAGGAAGCTGGGTTTGGCAACTAAGCCAGGACTCAAACCAGGCACTCTGATATGAGACACAGGAGTCTTAACCCATGTCATAAGCACTAGACCAACACTCAGTCCTAAACTTATTTTTTAATTCTATTTTCCATGAACTTGTTAGGTCACACATAGGTACATTACATATTTTTACTTGCAATAAGTAAGCCATTCACCTGTCTGCCTCAAAGAGAGACAGGGATCCAACAGTCACTTCCAAAAAATATTGCTGACTCTCCTACTTCTCTAAGCCTCTTCTGGCTACCCTGGCCTTAGCCAGCATTTAGACATAGAGATCAAAGTTTAGAGATAGAGTTCTCCAGATTATATGGGTAACTGTAGGATCTACATTCACGAATAGAAAACTTGGAATTTCTGGATTAAATACAAAGAATTTTCATAGTATAGGGCAGGAGACTGGAAATAAAGGTAGACAGAGCTGAGGAGATTGGTGTTGCCCTCTGGGTTAGCCGTGTTAGGACAGAGAGAGATGACTGAGCCATCCAGGCAACTGTCAGGCAGAGAGCTGGACATGAGGGCTAGAAGAGAGACCTGGGCTAGATTGTTAGCTTTGGAAATCACCTGTGTACACGTGTGTGTGGTGATTGAAATTTCTAGGGGAGCGTGAAATTGCTGAGTGTGCGTAATTGAAATGAGAGCAGAGGGAGGAACCCTAGTGTTTAGGAGGTGGGTAGAAGAACAACCAGTAAAGGACTAGAAATGTAGAAGGCAGAGAGATGGAAAGCCTCGGTGAAAAGCACTATGGTGTGGTGGTAAGAGTAGTCGCACTGGGGCCGGTGCTGTGCTGTGGCGTAGTGGGTAAAGCTACCGCCAGTGGGTGGGAGTGCTGGCATCCCACCAGCTCTCTGCTCTGGCCTGGGAAATCAGTAAAAGACGGCCCAAGACTTTGTGCCTCTGCTCCCATGTGGGAGACCCAGAGGAAGTTCCTGGCTTCTAGCTTCAGATTGGCACAACTCTGGCCATTGTAGCCATTTCAAGAGTGACCCAAGAAGACCTCTCTCTCTCTCTCTCTCTCTCTCTCTCTCTCTGCATCTGCCTCTCTGTAACTCTTTCAAATAAATAAAGTAATCTTTTAAAAAAAAAGAGTAATTTCAATAATGAGAGTCAGAAGGATTAGCTGTGTGACTTCGGGCAAAGTTCTTGGTCTCTCTGAGTCTGCGTCTTTGTTCCACCATGAAGATAACAATACCTGCTTCAAAGGACTGTTGTGAGAGTCCAGTGGTGATGTAATAAAGCTCCTGGTTCTGTCTGCAGAAAGGACTCTTTGCAGGAGTGAAGGGAGACCACCAGGACTATGATGCCTGTAAGAGTTACATGGGTGTTGCTACGTGGAGATAATGGTTACTGCCTGCGGGGGTGAGGGGAGACCAGTAACACCATCAGTAGTGTGCCCACTCTTAGGGCACAAGAACCCAGCCTCAGGGTTAGATGATCAGCCCTTTTTCGCTCATTCCTTAGATACTGGCCTCGTCATGAGCCAAAGATAGTTTTGTTTTGTCACCTCTAAACCCTGTCTCCAAGTTCTTTGTCCTGAGGAATTTGCACCATTAGACATTGACCTGGAGATGGCATAATGTCCTTTTCCCTTAGAATAAATTCAGATGTTGAGATTTCCATGGTTTATGTTCAACTTGGTTCAGAATAAAAACACTTTACACTAATTTTACATACATGTTAAGAAAAGTACTATGTGAAAATTAGATGCAAGGATAAAGAATTGGAGACTTTCTAGGAGGTGTAAATGAAAAGTGATTCCTCCCCTGCATGTGATCCCATTCCCAGGAGGAAAGCGCACTCACCGGCCTCAGCACCCTGCACACCTCGCGGAGGATCTGCTCCTGGTTCTTCACGGAGCACAGCACCAGGGTACAGACCACCACATCCACAGAGCCATCGGCCACCTGATGCATGTTTTCCCCAGGGGCCACCACAAACTGCTCGAACTGCAGATGCCGGTTCTCGGCAACGCTTTTGATCAAGAACTTCTCAAAGTTGGGGTTGGGGTCAACACAGGTCACCCTGCATCCCGGTGGGTAGAACTTGAAGTTGGTCCCGGTGCCACAGCCCACCTCCAGCAGGGACAGCTTCCCAGAGGGGCCTGCAAACTCCTGCAGGGTACTGAAGAGCTCCCGCTTCTTGCTTGCCATCTGTTCATTGTATATCACAGAAAACTTCACCATGAAGTAGGGGAACCATCTTTTGCAGAACCAGTTCCACACGCCCAGGAAGTGTAGCACATACATGGGAGATGCCAGAGCGCAGACAACCAGCCTCAGGATAAAGATGGCAATCGCCATCCTGCAGAAGAGAAAAATAACCGATCAGCAGTTACAGAGCTGCTTCTTTAACTGCCAGGTTGCTGGTAGTCCCCTGATGCTGCTCCGGATCCAATCAGCAACAGAGGAAAGAACTGGCTGTGCTGGGTAAATGGAGCTCCAGTCAGTGCAGGGGCAAGCAGCCCATTCTGCTCAGTTAATAGTCCTTTGGCAGAAGCTGATTCGTAGCTTAGTTTTCTGAGCAAAATGACACTGTTCCCAGCTTTTCCTTAGGAGGCAGGCTGATGACAGGCCTCTATTCCAAATTTATTCTCGTTCTCCGTTCCCTGAATCTGCAGAGGACTGCTGGCTTCCTGCTGGAGCTTATGTACACAGAGTTCTCTCACCCCACCCAGAGCAGGAACGACCTTCACAAAGAAAACAGAATCTGTGGGCGGAGCCTGGTTCAAACCACTCCGGAGAAGGCTGTCAGGCCCCTGTTGCATAACATATCTCCCTTCTGTCCACAGTCCTCAGGCGCCCTGTTTTTGAAACAAAAAATGCAAAGACATGCCTGCTTAGCTACAGTCCCTAGAATCCTGTGTTTTCCATTCTGGGCTGAGGCTCACAGATGTTAATAACAACAGGAGAATTATTTTAAACTCACAGTTTGGGGCCTGCCCATCTTTTAAAGGGAAAGTCTTTATCTTCAAATTGTGCACAAGGACTGCATTACTCAGCAAATTTAGATAAAAATAGTCCTTGGAATGTTCAGTTTTGGGAGCCTAAAGGATCACAAATTAGTGTCAAGCATCCATCTGTTTTTAACAAGAAAGCCTGGGCTTTAGGGTGGCTAGAGAACATAGACATTTTAAAAAATAATGGTGCCTTTTTTGTTGTTGTTTTTTAACTGGTGGAGGTTGCAGGGACTGCTGTCCTATTATTTGTTGTACTCTACATGTAAATACCCTGTTTTCAAACAGCTTTTTGAGGTGGAATGGACATAGAATAAGCGTTCCCTGTTTCACGTGTACAGTTTGGGAAGTCTTGACGTAGGTTTGCGCTCGTGAAACCATTGCTTCGCTCAGAGACGCACGTATCCATCACGCCCAAAACCTCCTCTTGCCCCTTTGAGCATCTCCCTCCTGCCGTCCTCATCCCAAAGCTACCAGTGGCCTGCTCTCTGTCACTAGAGATTAACTGAGATTTTCTTGATGTTCATGTAAATAAAACCATAAAGTACATAATTTCTTAGGTGTATTTCACTCAGCCTGATTATTTTGAGAGTTAATGCACATTGCATGTTCAGTCCTTTTTATTGCTGTTCTATATAGTGCATCATACATAACATTTGTAAGGACAGGAGAGCAAGACGAAGAGGAGACAGAACGTGAACTCACAGCCAGGCCTGGCTTATTCAGAGAAGCCTGGGAGGAGCTCACTCCAGGTGAACACATGACAGTCACCAGTGAACAGACGGTAGAGAGAGCCCACTCCCACATAACCTTGTGGTTTATATAGCGTAAAGTAGGTGGGAGGACTTGGGGGGTCTGGGCTAAGGCTGAGCTGCCAAGATAGTGGGGAGAGCTTGCACTAGTGGCTGGGTGTGGCTAGGGAGGATTTGAAATAAGGCTGGACTCCAGGGTTTGGACTGAAGCTGAGCTGCTGAGATAGCAGGGAGAGCTAAGGTGGGGTGGGGAGAGCCTGGGAGTGGTGCGGCTTGGGAGGGGAGAGCTTAGACGGAGTTCCTAGGGTTGTAGGCGGAGCTCAGGCTGGTGGCTGGACTCTGCAGATAATGAGGTGTCCAAAGCAGGGCAGGGCTGAACTAGCAGGGCAGGGCTGAGCCAGCCGAAGAATGCCGGGATATGCAGGGACCTGCTTGTTGTCATCAGGTGAGAGGCCAAAGTGGATCTAAGGCTTTTGTCCTTGCTCTGTTAGCAGAATTGCACCGAATGGATGTATAGCGCTTAGCTGCTGTCAACACTGGACGATCTTTGTGTGGACTCACACTTTCCCTTTTCCTGGATGAACACCCATAAGTAAACCATATGTTTTCCAAAATGGTTGTGTCATTTTATTTTCACCAGCAGTTTATGAGCGATTTAGTTACTCTACATCCTCAAAAATGACTTGGTACAGCAATCTTTTTTAATTTTAGCCATTCTTAAAGATGTGTAGTGATCTCATTACAGTTTTATTTTGCATTTCACTAACAGTTAATGATGTGGAATATCTTTTGGTGGGCTTATTTGCTATCCATATAATGATATTTCAAAATATTCATGGACTAATGAAATTAAAAAGTAACTGTATATTATGGAACATTGCGTGGGAGACCCGGAGGAAGCTCCTGGCTCCTGGCTTCAGATTGGCAAAGCTCCGGCCTTTGTGGCCATCAGGGGAATGAACCAGCGGATGGAGGAGCTCTCTCTCTCTCTCCTCTCTCTCTCTGTGTAATTCTGACTTTAAAGTAAAATAAATAAAATCTTAAAAAAAAAAAAAAAAAACCAGCTGGAAGGAATGGGCTCTAGTGTTTCAGAGCACTGTGAGGTGACTAGAGTTCATAATAACACGTCATATGTGATATAAACAACAGGAAAAGAGGAGCTGGTAGGCTCCAAACACAAAGAAAATATAAGGGAATGGACGGGCTGATTTGATTAATTTATCCTGTTTTTGTTGAAATAGTGCATTATCTGGCACAAAAATGTACAAATATTGCATGTGAAAAAAATTTTTAAATAAATTTAAGAAAAGCAAAGAACTGAAATAAAATCTCAAAGAGAGTTCAGCACTCCTGTGTTCACTGCAGCACTATTCAGAATGGACAAAGTATGGGAGTAATCAAAATGCCGACCGCGAAAGTGTAAAGAAAATGTGGCATATACTCAGAGGGAAAATACTATTCAGTCTTAAGAAGGGAAATTTTTCAATATCCAACAACATGGATAAACTCTGAGGACATTATGCGAAATGATATCTAAAAAGTCAAACTCAGTTCAAGGATTTGGCATAGTGGATGAGATGCAAGCTAGGACACCATGTTCCATATCAGAATGTCTGGGATGCCAAGTCCCAGCTCTGCTCCTGATTCCAGTTTCCTGCTAATGTGCCCCTTGGACAGATTCCAGTCATGCATGTGGGAGACCAAGGCTGAGTTCTAGGGTCCTGGAACCAGCTGAGCCCAGCCCAGGGCATTGTGGATATTTTGGGAATGTGCAGTGGATGAGAGTGTGTTCTCTCTTTTGGCCTTTCAAAAATAAAGAAATAGTCAATTCATACACAGATACTTCAAAAAGTTTGTGGAGGGGTTGTTCTTTGGCAGTTAAGCCCCTCCTATCAGAGTATCTGGATTTTAGTCCTGATTTTGCTCCCAATACCAACTTTCTATCAGTGCCCACCCTGGGAAGCAGTTGGGTTTCTGCTGCCCGTGTGAGTGACCTGTATTGAGTTCCTTCACCGGGCTTTGGCCTGGCACAGTCCCAGTCGGTGTGAGCATTTGGAGAGTTGGGCCATCACCTGCTGCTTCCCAGGGTGCCCATTAGCAGGAAGCCGGCATCAGAAGAGGACCAGGGCTCACTCAAGGGCTCCAATATGGGGAGTAGGTGTCTCAAGTGGCAACGTAATCACCGTGCCAAATGCCCGCCCCTAGTTCTCACAACTTTTTCATGGAGTTGTTAGGACTTTATAGATATAACATCATGGTGTTTGCAAACAGGGACAGTTTGACTTGTTCCTTTCTGATTTGAATACCTGTTGTTTCCAGTTTTGCCTAACTGCCCTGGCTGTTACTTAGAGGAACAGGCTGAGTAGAAGTAGCAAGAATGAGCATGCTTGCCCCTGTGCTTGATCATAGAGAAAAAGCTTTCAGATTTTCAGCCTTGAATATAATGTTAGGTGTGAGGTTTCATACATGGCCTTTGTTGAGAGATTTCCATCTCTTCTGCCTAGTTTATTGAGAGGTTTGATTATCATGAAAGCATGTTTTCTTTTTTTCCTGTATCTATTGAAATGATCATTTAATTTTATTCATTCTATTAGTGTGGTGCATAATGCTTGTATTAGTGATTTTCATACGTTGCAAAGCTCTTGCATTCCAGTGATAAAATGCACTTGGTCATAGTGAGTGATTCTTTTATGTGCTATTGAATTATTTGCTAGTTAAAAAATGTTGATTTAGGGGCCAGTGCTGTGGCATAATGGGCTACCTGCAGCACTGCAATCCATTATGGGCATCGGTTTGTTTATTTTGAAAGGCAGAGTTAGAGAAAGAGAGATCTTCCATCCACTGGTTCACTCTCCAAATGGCAATAATATCTGGGGCTGGGCCGGACTGAAGCTGAGAACCAAGAACTTCTAGGTCTCTCACATAGGTGGCAGGAGATCAAATACTTGGGTCATCTTTTGCTGCCTTCCCAGTTCCATTAGTAAGGAACTGGATCGGAAGTTCCTTCCGATGGTATGCTAGCCTTGCAAGTGGCTGCTTAACCTGCTGTGGCACAACACCTGCCCCTCGTCATTTTCAATGTATAATTCTACTCTCCTGATAAGCAAGATCTCTGCTGAGGAATGCTAAGTGTCTTATTTAGGCTCCATTGTATGTGACAAGTCACTTTCTTCTTCATGCTATTTTCAAAATTCTTTGAGTTTTGAAAATGATAATGTGCCTTAGTGTGAACTTTTTGAGGTCTTCAATTGGATGCTCATTTTACTCTTCAAATTTAGGATGTTGTTTTCCATTATTTCTTTAAGGAGACTATCTACATCTTTCTTTCACTTTTCTGCTTCTGGTGTCTCCATAACGCATTTGTGAGAGTACTTCAAAAGGTTTGTGGAAAATTGAATTAAAAGACAATTTTATTTCTGGGGCTGGCACAGTGGCATAGTGCATTAGCTTATGATGCTGGCATTGTATGTTGGAGCGCCAGATTGAATCCTGGCTGCTCCACTTCCAATGCCTGCAAAGATGATTTCTTAGACTGTTGTCACCCACGTGGGAAACACAGATGCAGTTCCTGGATCCTGGCTTCAAATGATGTAGCCCAGGCTATTGAACCAGAGGATGGAAGATCTTTCCCTCTCTTACGCTGCCTTTCAAGTAAATTAATAAATTTAAAAAAATTAAGTATATTTGGGATCAAATAATTTAAATCCTGTATTATTTTTCATAACACACATTTTCTATGAACTTTTTGAAGACCCTCATGCTCATATTGGTTTGCTTAGTCATATGCCCTATATACCATAGTCTTTCCTCCCTGTTTTTATTCTTTTTACATTTTTTATTTTATGACTTCAGAAAATATATTCTTCACCTCTAGGTTTTAAAATCTTGTTTCAATTTCTTGTTGAACATTTCAATTTTTTTTCATTCTTAGTTTTCCTAATTTAGTTGTCTATTTGTGTTTCCTTGTAGCTCACTGA